CATTTTAAGTTTATTGATTAGTTAATTACTTACATAATATTAGTTCAATAAATTTTGAGTTTAAACGACTTAAGATTTTATACACGGTGATTCTAATAGGTTATAAAGTAGATAAAAATCTTGAGTTCAATTAAATCTCACGATCCCACATTTCGGTGCCGTTAAAATTTCTTGGGGTGAGTCCCATGCAAAGAAGCCCATATTTGACTCCCTTTAGAAAAATAATTTATTTCTCATACTCATTTTCAATCGTACATTCACAAAATAAAATATTTTGCATGTGAATCCAAAATTTTTCTCACTTTTTAACCACATTCTCCAAAATATCACTATTCAATACATTATTTTTATACAATAAAGACCATCAAACAGGGCTAAGTCAAATAAGTAGCAAATGAGCTACCAAATTGATTAGTTTTTAAATTAAGCAATTTAATATAAATAAAACAAATTTATTTTTCGAACCGCTGATATTCGTCGCAGGGTAAATCACCGCCTCTTAGGGACCCGGACTGATACATCCATTATAAGTGATAATAGTGAGATTTACATTAACATGAGTGAAATGAACTTTTTAAATAATTTGATCTTATTAAAAAATTACATTATGAGTGAATTATCTACTGTGTGTAGCATGCACTAAACAAGAATCATGCAGGAGTGCAGATTGAACTGGTAAACTTCTTATGGGTGTAATCGAGCCATCAGTAGTGGTTGGAAGGGACATTTTGGTGGCAATATTCTAAAATAGTAGTTGTGATGTTCAAAACATGTTTACTTGTATGATGCAATAAACTTATTTTATATATATTGGCGCATTAATAAAATGGTTGTTGTATTTTAGTATAAACAAAACTACTCTATTTAAAAAATAAAAATAAAATAAAATAAATAAAACTTGTTGAAAAATTAATTCATCAACATTGGACAATGGTGGATGGTCTCTGCTCAATAATTTTAGAAAAATACTACTCTACCAAACTTTGGTTCACAGGTGGGTTACAGGCTCTCTCTCAATGAAGTGGGCCCCACGTGCAATAAAAAATACCCAAAAAAATACCCACGCTCCTAAATGTGAGTAATTTAGACTGACCGTGTGAGCCACCACCTTGGTAATGTAGCAGGGCTCATAATTTTACAGTAATTGGATGGCGGTCTTCGATGTTGCCATCCAAACAGATTGTACTATATACACGTATTATTGTACCAAGATGAGATTGAACTCAAAATATATTTAAAAATTTATATAAAGCCCTAGTAAGACTTGCCATTAAGTTCTTTAATAATCCCATTAATCAAGGCAACTTGTCAAATACTCTTTAATAATCTCATTAATCAAGGCAACTTGTCAAATACTCAAAAAAGTATAAACAATTGAGATCCCTACCTTTTAACTTTAAACTTCAAAAATGGTTATTAGAACACAATATCCCTACTTTTGGAGTTCATTGTACAAAACGTTCATACTTTTCATTTTTTTTTCATGTTCATCCATATTTTACCTTTTATTATTGAAATCATCATTTCCATCAACTTTTATCTAATTTTTCAATAAAATATGTGAAATATCGAATATACCTTCCTACTTAAATAAAACAAAAAGAAAAGCAAAGAAAAATAAAGAATTAATTGCAACCACATTCTCAATTTTTTTAAAAAAGTAAAAATGAGTTCCAAATAAATTATTAAAAAAGAAAGGTTCCTTCCTCTCCCCCACCATCGCCACCACCAGCGATTGCTATCATTCATAGATGTTTGATAAAGCCTATAGAAGTCCACAAAAAATCTGGAAAATTGAAAATAAACGGTTTTGACCTTAAAAAATTAGCACAAAACTTGGGCACATATCTACTCTGGAAACTATGATTCACAATGAATGAAAGATTAAACTACCTATTTTCAAAATTATTTCTACCCAATAATTTAAATTGATTGTAGTTAAATACGAGCATAAAAGAAATATGAGATTTTAACTACTCTACAACAGGAAAGCTTAATAGGTCCATTAATACCAAGCTCACGAAAGCAATAATGTAAAAAAGAAGGAAATATATATTTATATTAATCAATTGCTGGCTATAAACTAAAAATAAATCAAATCTGATAGCGTATATCTTATTAATTTTACCGAGTTAACATATAGAACACATAGTAAGATGATAGATTAGTTGTGACTTCTGATGCAAATTGCTAAATGAATTGTGCCCTCCCCGCATCCCACCCTAGAAAATATAAAACAATCAAACTAATTAAAGAAGTTTGAAAAATGAACCCTGCTATGAGTACAGGGGTTTTTTCACAAAAAGCATACAGGAATTTGAAATGAAGGAAAATGATTCTAAGATTGAAGGAGAGAAAACAAACACACACGGACAAGATTCATTTATTTCAAAATTCTGGAAGGAATTTTTCTTGAAAAATACGACCATTTGCATAGATATAGGAAAGAATGAATTTTTAAGCGTTGGAATACATCTTAGGGAAATACTCATAAATTTATAATGAATTGTGAATTTTTTACTCCACTTATTCAAAATTTGTCGAGGGAGGCTCAACTTATCCAAATTTTGTTGGCTGGGTTAACTTAATCATAAACGCTGAATATACGTAATATAAAATCGATCTAAACTTCGAGAAGGAATCTAGCTTATGGGACCATGTCGTCATTGAGGGATTTGGAGTTTGGCTCTTCGCGTGCTAAAATGGAAGGCAATGAATAATGTGAGAATGTGTGGTGGAAAAGTGATGAAAAGTTTTTGATTTGTGTGTAATATTATTTTATTTGAAGAATGTGTGGTTGAAATGAAGAATGGGAATGAGAATGAGAAATTAATGGGTGCCAAACAGGGGCTTAATCATAAACGCTGAATATACGTAATATAAAATCGATCTAAACTTCGAGAAGGAATCTAGCTTATGGGACCATGTCGTCATTGAGGGATTTGGAGTTTGGCTCTTCGCGTGCTAAAATGGAAGGCAATGAATATGGCTCAACTTGTTCAATTATATGTCCATAATTATGAGCTCGATAAAAGTTCCTTTATTTTTCTTTATAGGACAAGCATCATTTGGTGGTATCCCGTCATAGTAGTATGGTCCACGGAAATCGAAATCAGAGAAGAAGGAAAAAAAAACACGTCTTAGTTTCATTTTATTTTTTATTCCTTGGATTTTGTGTGAACACATGTTCGAGCAATTGAATTGAAAGGCAATAGAGGTCACCACTCTAGTTCATGGACCTCCATTGGAATTACATGATCGTGATTCTCTAACGGTGACCAGTCCGATACTGCACTCCAAGTGTTTGATGAAATGCTGATGCTCTAACGGTGACCAGTCCGATACTGCACTCCAAATGTTTGATGAAATGCGTGAAAGTGGACTATCTGGAGATAACACCTCGTTTATATTTGTATTTAAAGCTTGTGCTAAAGTTTTAGCTATTTTATATGGAAGAAGAGTACATAGTCATGTTATAAAACTTGGGTTTGGACTTTGGAGCGTATCTTTATGTGTAATTCTTAAATACATATGTATGCTTCTTGTGGTGATTCGGAGTCTTAGAAAAATGCTTGATGAAATGAATGATAAAGACTTAGTTTCTTGGAACTCATTGATTTGTGGGTATAATCAGTGCAAGAGGTATAAGGAGGTTTTAGGACATTTCAATGCAATGAGGCAGGTGAATCTTAAAGCTAATGCAGTGACTATCGTTAAAGTTGTATTAGCCTGTATTTATTTGGATGAGTGGGAGATTGCGGATGCTCTGGTTAGATACATTGAGGAAAACCATATTAAGATTGATTTGTACTTGGAGAATACATTGATTGATAAAGAGTGGCTTGGCTGAGATAAGCTTGTGGAATTTTTGATGGCACGATGGAGAGGAATATTGTTTCTTGGAATGCCATGATTATGGGGTATGCAAAAGTAGGTCACTGCGTCGCAGCGAGGGTAATTTTTGATGAGATGCCAAGGAAGGATGTGATTTCATGGACTTCTATGATGATGGCCTATTCTCAAGCTACGCAATATAATGATGCTATTATTCTTTTCCAGGTGATGATGGTGGCCAAGGTTAAGCCTCATGAAATAGTGGTTGCTAGTGTGCTTTCTGCCTGTGCACATTTTAGCATGCTTGACATGGGCACTGCAGTGCAAAATTTTATTTGCGATCATTGTGTGTGTGTGTATATATATATATTGAAAATGCTTTGATAGATATGCGTTGCAAATGTGGATCAGTTGAAAAGTCTTTGGAGGTTTTTCATGAAATGGAAGAGAAGGACTCTGTCTCGTTGACTTTAATCATCTCTGGACTTGTGGTGAATGGCATTTCTAATCAAGCTCTTGAACTTTTCTCTCAAATGTTAAGAGAAGATGCAAGGCCAACCCATGGAACCTGTTTGGCATATTACTTTGTTGCTCGTGCTGGTTTGGTGGATAAAGGATTCGATTTTGTCCACAATATTCAAAATGATTATGGATTCATGCCAGAAATGAAGCATTATGGGTGTGTGGTCGATCTTTTAACTTGTGCTGGCAATCTATCAAGGGCATACGAGTTCGTTGAGCATATGCCTGTTGTTCCAGATGTTGCTTTATGGAGGATGCGATTTATTGCTTGTAGATTTCATGGTAATCTGGTTTCAGGTGAAATTGCTTCCAACAAGCTTCTTGAATTAGATCCAAGTAATTATTGGAATTATGTACTTACATCCAGTACTTATGCTGGAGTAGAGAGATGGGATGATGCTATATAAAACTTAGGGAACTGATAAATGAGAATGATGTGCAGAGACCATTAGGTTGGAGTTTATAGAAATAAATGGTGGAATTTCTTGGACCTCCCAGAAACAAGTGCCAGTTTCTCAACGTAAATGTAACATATGAAGTGTCTAAAACGAAAAGTTCTTCATGGCATAGATATCATTGTCCAGATGTCTTTTAATTCAGGGGATATCTCTGTAGAAGGTATGGGCGAAAGGATTACTTTTACACCCTAAATGAACTAATTGCAAGCAAGCAGGATATGCCTTGGTGGTGCATGACAAACTATACATTGGCATGCTAAAATTGCCAGAGTCGATCATAGAGCTGCAAGAAAGTTTATAGAAGGGTAATGCAAACCAAACACGCAATGGAGATTCTGATTGTGGATGTAGATATTTACCGTCTCTCAGTTACAAAGGAGCTTTGAGCAACTGAGACTGTCAAAGTTTCAACTGTTATAAATATTAGTTTGTTTTTGCAAGAAATCTCCTAGTTATATGGAGATTAAGACGAGCCAGTACATCCAAGTTCTGGAGAAGAACCTATAGAAGGGATTTAATGTCAGAGTGTAGGAAGATCAGAGTGGACTCCAATGGGATTGCAGTATCATAAGTCACCATGAGCTGGATGTGTGGGGAACAGAAGCTTTCAACACTGTAATTTTTTGTTATGGACACCCTATTGACATGGCACATGGTATCTGCAAAAGCCAAATAAAGTGGAAGCAATGGGACTGCTGCAGTGACTGTCGCTATCATTGCATGTTTCTAGGGAAGAAGATAGACGAAAACCTGGTCACTAGGCTGCCGAATATTGTAGGAATGGCCATTGCAAGGTATTTGTGGGATCAGGTACATTCATGCTGTTCCACGGGCTTCAGTTTTCCTCATTGAAATTTGATATAGCTGAATAATAGTTTATCAACGAGTATTAATATGTTTTATGATATCAGGAACCTGTTTCTGTGGCTGTCGTTATTAATCTTTCGGTACAATTCCATTGATGCATATCCTTGTAAATTACAAGCTGCCTTAGACCAAATAAGAATCTATACTATGAATACACTGACTGACCGACGTGTGGCACTTATATGCAATTTTCGCAATGATAACCTGGTTCTGGAGTGCGGTTTTCCACAGTTGCTGAGCATCATCTCTTGTTCCTCCACCTCTTCCTCATTTGTCATATAGTCTAAGTATCACGATTGATGTATTTGAAACATTTCCACATACGTGGTTTTGGCATATAAGTTCATATTAGCAAAATGTCGTTCTAGGGAGTTACTACACTTAGAGACGTATTGCTCATTCCACTTTGCATTGCCCGTTAAATAGGAAAAAGTCTCCACCTATCAAAAGTCCGGAAACAACTAGAAGAGTCAATATTAGACATAACTCATAAGCAACTGGTTCATCTTTCTAATCGTAAGCAAGCACACATCCAAGCTAGCATCAAATGCCCCGGATGGAAGAAAATATGAAAAACAAACATCAGCTCCGAATTCTTTTAATATATATTGAAGCTGAAAAAAGTACGGGGTGGTGGGGGGTAGGGGTGGGTAGAAATGAGAGTCATAAAGGCAGTCCAACCATGGCGTTGTACCATTATTATAGATACATGATATTTGTTTATACCATTCTGATTTGTGGTCAACGATAGCTCCAAAGATTATCCGGTTCCAAATCATCCGGCGAGTCGCCGTCGTCCCCCGGAGTTTTCATCCTTGGTGGGCTTACTAGCATTCCCTCAGCCATATCCACCAGCAAATTTGGCATGTCAAAAAGTGCCTCCTCATCAACAAATTCTTGTCCAGCCGGCATATGCTCACTGGAAGAAGCTCCGATTCCGGTCTGCTCTTGTCCAGTCGGCGTTTGCTGTTCTTGAAGAGTGGCTGGATGACCACCACTTTCTTGTGGAGGTGCTCTAGCAGCAGCCGCACTAGCTGCTGCCGCTCGTATATCTGTGGCCGATTGAGATGCCGGTGTTGGATACGATTTTATTAACTCAGGAAAATTTACTGCAGCATCAAGGCCTTTCAATGCCAAAGCAGCAACATCATAGGCTGCAGCAGCCATTTCTGGGGTAGGGTACGTTCCGAGCCATATGCGCGTAGTTTTACGTGGTTCGCGAATTTCCGACACCCATTTTCCGCTCCTACACCGAATGCCACGATAAAATGGATGCCGTCCCGACGATGGTGGAGCACCGGTTGGACTGGAAACTGTGGTAGTTAGGGGTTGGGACAAGGGTTCCTGTGAAGTGTTCGATGAAAAAGTATCATGGGATTGGTCCTCCTTAGGACTTAAAGGGTCATTTTGGGGTACGTTGGGACGATTAGCCATGCATTTAGAATCAAATGTATGCCTTTCGTGGAAAAAATTGATATTGTTTTTAGGGTATTTAAGGGAATGAAAATCAGTAGAAAAAGCGTGGGGAATTCGCAGTGGGGCTATACAGTTAAAACGCTAATTGCACGTGTTTTAAGGTCTATGAGTTTAATATTGGTCCAGCCTAGTTAGAGATTAGCTGTTGCTTACTATTTGGTCACTAGTTCCTTCCTTCGGATTTCGTATTCTCTATCAACCTCGTACTTTCTAATTATCTTTTCCGTTTGAAAAAATAAAAATTATTTTGACTAGAACGACACCGAGTGAGATTTTGGCTTAGCTGGTGGCTTATTGGTGGATTATTCCAAACGTATTATTTGAATAATATAAAAATGAATTTTTAAATAATCAACACTAGTCAATTTTATTTTTGTTCGTGCAAGTCAGTTCTGGGCGAATATTATCGCCCAAAACAAATGGCAAGAGTTTAAAAATAAATAATTAGAGAAATCGGTATTGAAACTAGCAAAATAAAATATTTAATGAATTTTTAATTAAGTTTATTAAATTATTTTAGAATATTTATTCATGTTGACTTGTCAATATATTTGTCTAAAAAATATCTTTTTATAATTTCTTAATTTTGAACAATATATATAATGGTACTTTAAGTTGAGTGATCTCGTCTGAATGAAAAGTATATTAGAAAGAATAATAATAACAACAACACGATACTTAACCGTGTTAACTATGGTGCCACCTTGTTCTTGGCAGATATTTTCTCGGAATGGAACCAACGGCCAGTACAGCTGCTTCTGACCACAAAATAAGCAGTGTGAACGCTCTTCGACATCTGTTGTCTGTTCAATTTATTATTTACTCAATTAATTAATTATTGATCGGCGGATTAAGGTACAGTTGACGTGGATAATTCGAGATGAAATGTTAGATTAGAAACCACGTATCAATGATCAATCAGTGGACCTCAAGTTACACGGCAAAAATTGAATCTCTGCGAGAGAGAATGGAAATCTTAGCATCCCCGTTCCATTCCCACACTAGTGCAGTCTCCGATTTCCTATCAAAACCCAACTCCAAAACCTCCCAAATCTCTATTCCAAACCCATGCGCAGAGCCTCAGCTTCCATTATTCCACCGCCAGCAGATTTTGATTTCATGAATGAAATTCCACAAGCACAATAGCCAAAACCCATCAAGAATTGCTCGATTTGGCTCATAATGGGACTTGGTTCTGATTAACAAAAGTCAGTATGGCCCAGTCCCACCATGGAGAAGTGAGTTCACAGAATCAGAGGCGGCCATTTGGCTTATTGGAACCACACATATATCCAAGCAATCAGCTTCTGATCTTCTAAGGGTTATCCGTGCTTTGAGGCCCGACAATGTTGTTGTGGAGCTCTGCAGAAGCAGGCAAGTTTTAGGCATTTGCTTGTTTCTTTTCTCATTTGGGATTTCAGTTGAATTATGCGTTGAACCACATGTTTGTATAAGCTTAAAAAGATTTATAAGTTGAAAAACAAATATTTTTTCTTCATTGGCGATAATTCAAACAATTGAGTTATTCTGACGACCGGGTAACACTAACTTGAAAAAAAGAACTATTTTACCTAAAATAATAATAATAAAAAAATAATAATAAGTTATTCATGGTATTTGGAGATACAATATTTGATTGCCTAGTCATGTGTGGGCAAGATTTATCTTTTCATGGAAGACTATATATGTGAATAAAATAGTTAATGAATTGAACTTAAGCAAAACCCTTGTTCGCTCTGATGTCTTCTTGAATCAACTCATATAAATGCTTAGACAGTTAGAAAGGGGACAAATTTACCTATTATAATTGTCTGTTCAACATGATGTGCATTCCTGTAATTTGTTAACTGGTTCTATTTTTCTGTGTTTATGAATTTAATTATTTGCTAGTATATACGGACGGGAGTGTGGAAGCACTGGCAATGGAAGGATTAGTCCCATAACTTCACTAGCAACATTAGTAACTTTCATCTAGAAATGGGGGCACGTTCGTAAGTTTCTCTAGAATGCATCTTGGCACGTGTAAAAATTTAGTTTAGTGCAAATGAGACTTTTGACTAGGTCAAGTGGAAATTCGGAAGTTTTCGAGTTAAACTTGGACATCATTTTAGATTGAGGAGTCATTTTGATTTTCAAAATCAGATTTATTGTAATCTTTTGTTGTCAATATATGGCTTAACTTCACTTATTGAAGATTCTATTTTCAGAGCTGGGATCATGTACACTTCTAACAATGGTGAGCTCAATCAGCAGTTGAGGTCAAACATGTTTTCCTTGAGTGGTTCTGGGTTGGGGTGGTTGGCCGCAGTATTAACTTGGGTCTGTGTTTATGCCTTGCTCTTCTGTTCCTGTACAGCTTTTTTTAGAAGATTTAAGTTATACTTCTCCCACATAACAGGGGGTCAAATTGCTTTAGCATTACCCCTACTGTTCGCAGCATTCTCTTCAAAAATGTCTTCAGATATTGATCGTCCTTTTGGTGATGAGGTAGATGATTGTCAGAAATGACTTAATGGCTAGCAACTTCAGAATTTCGTATGACCACGTCTTCTCTGAGAAAATTCTTTTGCAAGTTTGCAGTTCATGCTGCTAGAAAGGCTTCTGAAGAAATTGGTGCTCAACTAGTATTGGGGGATCGACAGATAGAAATAACTGTATGTAAGCCAAGAGATTATGAAACAATGTCATCATTTGTGACTTTTACTTCCATAAGTCTAAAATTAGATGTTGTTGTACCACCTCATCTAAAGGTAAGTTGACAAATTTATTTATTTTAAGTTAGTCTTCAACAAGATCTTTATGTGTAGGTCAAATTCATTTTTTCGTCAGGCCTAACACTTGTGAAATTTTCACAAACACGGGCTGGGGAGATTTGAATCAAGACCAGTGCCTATTCTTATACTGTACTGAACCATGTCATTGAAAAACTTAAGCTCTATGAATGGCACAAATTTATTCATTTGAATTTTGCCTTCAACAGCCAGAGTGACCCTAAATTTGGGGGAACTATGGGTTGAAATGTTAATCGGTTTTTCTACTGCCTCTGTTGGATGGCTGAATTACTTTGACTGACACGTGATAAAGGTTTAGTTATTTATTTCTACGTATCCCCTTACAGCTTGAAAAAGCGTGGAGTTCATTAAAGTAGAAGGTGAAGCTGAGTTAAGTGTCTACTGTCATTTGTGGAATAACATCATCCAACATTTCCAAAGATACATTAAGGTTTATTTTTATATTTTTAGATAAGAAATTGTTACCTTTAACTTCTAACTCCACATTTTCTGTGTGTTTTGAGTTTTGAAGTTGACCATATATCTTGAGGAAATCTAATTGCCACGTGATCCAAACCTGCATTTCTTTAATCCGAAGTACTGATCATATTTGCCGGTGCTGGCATAATGATATGTATATTCAGCTAGCTTATATCTATTTAAAAACGGGTTAATTTCACAAACGATCACTGAAAATCACAAAACGGCCACGGAAGTTTAAAACTTGAAGAAACGGCCACTGAAATTTCAATTTCTTTCACTAACGGTCACTGAATTTTTAGATTTTTTGGGTAAGTTTTGCGGCGATTTTCATTTTAACTTCCAACTACCAAGACCGTCGAATTTGGATACCGTTGGAAAACCCACAATGTCCTCTTCAATTACCACTAAAAATCTCCCCATAACTCCAAAGGATTCGGTCGAAATATCCCCACGAAGTCGGCTATCGAAAAATCTGAAAATCTGCCCAGATTTTCAGATTTTTTTGAGCGATTTTGCGGCAATTTTTCGGCAACTTCCGATCACCAATACCGCCAGTTTTGGATACCTTTGGAAATCCCACAATGTCCTCTTCAAGGACATTGTGGGCGGATTTTTAGATTTTTCGATAGCCGACTTCTTGGGTATATTTCGACCGAATCCGTTGGAGTTATAAGGAGATTTTTTGTGGTAATTGAAGAGGACATTGTGGGTTTTCCAACGGTATCCAAATCCGGCGATCTTGGTGGTTGGAAGTTGCCGAAAAATCGCCGCAAAACTTGTCCAAAAAATCTGAAAATTCAGTGACCGTTTGTGAAAGAAACTTAAACTTCAGTGACCGTTTCTGCAAGTTTTAAACTTTAGTGATCATTTTGTGATTTTCAAGTAATTTCAGTGACCGTTTGTGAAATTAACTCATTTAAAAACTTCTATAAAATTTATTTTATTTTTGCATTTTGTAAATCAGGAATCTAGTACTGGTGATGACAACTTCCAGCCCTACGAGCAGCTAAGCTCTTCACATCCATCATTGTTGCCACCTCTCGTATATGAATTGATACAGTAAGTGTAAGTGTTTAAAAAACATACAGTTATTGATTTGTTTGGCAACTGTGCTACTTATGAGGGAAAAAGAGAATTCAAATTCATATTATTGGCTCGTGTCTCCTGGCTTTTACGAAATTTAGATATTATCGCTGATTTAACCAGCAACACGCATCGTGCTGTAGTCATTCTTCTAATTTTTTGAACAATTATTAGAGCTGCTGTGTATTATGGTACTTCCTGTTAAGTTGTTTACTTGTATGTATTATTGGACTGATTGTGCCACCCAATTAAAGATAAAAAATACGGGAATAATGAGGTTGTTGGGACATGTATTGCGTAGACTTGAGAGGTTCCTGTTGTTAAAGGATAAAAAGGATGAAGATATTAATCAACATATAAGTGTGCGGGATACTCGTCTTAGGGTTTTGTTTGGGCCCCTTTGGGAAAGTAGATTTTGTAACAGTGATTTTTTGGAAAATGTGTGGTTCAAAAGTTGAAAGATTTTGAGTTTACATGTAAAATTATTTTATTTAGAGAATGTGTGATTGAAAATGAGTTTTGGGAAAATTTTTAAATAATGGGACTCAAATGGATGCTAAATAAGGCTAACATTTTAAGATCATAAACCCTACATTTTATAATATTAGAGTCTATTAAACTCAAACGAGTAGCTCGTTCCAATTAAGATTCAAAAACCAGAATATCGATTCCAAGATTGGTATGCACACAAACGAGCCACCATTTGTAAGGCATGTTTAGGGATAAAGTTTACATTGAATAATGATGACGATATTAACCAATATATAAGTGTTAGGGCTACTCTTAATAATATTGTACTTTTAAGATGGAATCTTGAATCTTAATATTTGTAGCAAATGGAGTGATACAAAAGAATTCATTTAGTCCACTCCAAATTTATTTAGAACAAGACGTAGTTAGTTGTGAATGCTGATGTTTCTCTATTTCAAGCAATGCTCTGAATGACTTTTAACTTTTTCCAATAAATGATAGGAATCGTTTTTCTTTCAGTATCTTGCTTGGAATTGAGAAAGTCTTAAAACAATATCATTTCAATCAAAAAGCAAACCAACACTGTTTGCGGCTACAACTTTGGAGCAAATAATAATTGCTTTTAGTCCCTCATCACTCGCAAAGATAATTAATCAGTCCTAACTATTCAAATAAGCATCAGATTTTAAATTGAAAGCAATAAAATTCAAAAATGAAAAGGAATAAAATCATCTCTTTCCACGTGGACTACATCAGTTTGGTAGGCAATACTCGGTTGGATTTAACATTATAAAGATCAAATTTCTAGCTTTATGTTTAAATTTAATATTATTCAATGTTGCATGTTTGATTGGGTGTAACAGATAACACCGAACAATCTTACGGCGTGAAAAAAGAGAGGTTAAAATCATATGTCATGATACCGTAATTACTAGAATCTAGTCGACAGTAAGATTTAAAGACTATACAAAAACACAAAATATTCTCAGGCCCTGTTTGTTTCTGATTCTCAAATCAATTCTCAAATCAATTCTCATTTTCAACCACACATTCTTCAATAAAATAATATTTTCCATCACATCAATACTTTTTTCTTCTTTTTCAACCACACATTTCCCATCATATCACTATTCAAAATCAATTCTTCCCCCAAAAATCC